TCTTGGTGCGCTAATTTTTTTGTCCATGAGTGTATTTTTCACTCTGATAACAGAAGGTTAATGATTCAGAGTCATAATCAAAATGAGCTGGTAAACTTCCTCCCACATTCCATAAATATCTTTCACTAATTGTTTACAAAACTTGGTGGTCAGATAAACACATTCCAATCCCATAAAAGTCTTAGTAGGACTCATGCAAGGCATTATCATGTTGGAAGACAGTAATATTAGTAAAGAAAAAGATTCTGATTAATAGGTTTAAATGATCAATTACTATGTTAACATATCTGTTAGTGTAAATGATAAATTAATTTGCCCTCAGACGTACAAAAAATTCTAGGGATGTTTGAGTAAACATCCCCCAGACTGTTAAACTACTGCCACCTGCCCAAAGGACAGCATGAAAGATTCGTTGGTTCATGCCATATATCCTATTTTCCGTCACCATAATACTTTTATTCACCTGACCAGTTGACTTTTTCCTAATTCTCTACAGTCCAGATGTAGTAAGATTTGTAAATTACAGCCTCAAAATTTTGTGAGAATAGATGTAGACTTCATTTGTCAAATCTAGTTTTTCTATGTTTCACTTAGTCTTTGTGCATAAAACTGCATTTAGACGTGTTAAAATTTGAAGTGATTTGCTGCACATATACTGTTTTATTATGAGATAATACAAGATATTCTCTACAAGCATCTGTTGCTGGTTTCTACCACATTTTCTTACGACTAAAAGGTTTTTCCAAATTTCACAGTATAAATACACACTTGCTATGACATTTCTTGAAATTTCCAAAAGTTTGCCAGCCGCTGAAACTGTAGGTGTTCACCCCTGTGAGCAGTTTGTCCATAATCAAATGCTCTTAGACTGGTGCCTTTACCCATAACAGCTTTTATCTGCTGTCCAAAGCTCCAAAACAAATGCCCCTTATTGCGTACATCATCTTTTTGTAGCCACTAGAGTGAGCATATTCTACTCTATTTATTTACATTGTCCTATCAAAGAAGCATACAACTTGTCCTTTCAACACACACACAATAAAAAAAAAAAAAAAAAAAAAAAAAAAAAAAAAAGAGAGAGAGAGAGAGAAAGAGGAACTGATGACACACTTTTATTCATTATATTTCATGACAGCAAAGATTATACAGCTCAAAAAACTATTTCAACCAAAACACAAAGCCTATTATTTTTGAAAAAATTAATGATACCTAGCCATCGTGGGATAAAAACTTGTCATACAGGGAATAAGTATAAAATCACCATTTATGTCTATTATAGTTTCAGAAACATCACATTTCTTTTAATTAAGCAATGCCAGAGATAAGTTTTTAAGAAGTAAAATAGTCAAGTACCTTACATATTGTAACATACTTGTAGATAGATCTTTATATATACGAACAATTTACTTGAGAATGACAAATCATTCACTTTACATCACATGGCTTCAGCTCTTTTCCGATAAATAAAATCTTACTGATCTTCGAATTTGAACTAATAAACAATTTAAGCTGTCACATTTATACTAATTGTGTAACAAAAATTAATAAAAATAGATTATTTTCATTTTGGATCTCATTTAGTTACTATTTCAAATAATCTAAAATAATAACTAAATGAATATACTGGTATCAAATTTCTACTGAGTTATAAATGTATAAATACACCTTTATAAGAAAGTTTTTATAAGTACCCTTATACACATAGTTTTTAGTTCTCTTTTAAAAACATGCTGCAACCTGCAGAAAAGGGGAAGGGAGAGGGGGAACCTGAAGTGTAACAAATGGGTATGAACCTCTTACCTGGAGCAAACAAGGTCAAAATGTGACCAATTGCAGTGGGCAGCCAATACCATGAGTACTTTGAAATTTATTATGCAGAAATATGTCAAAAGTTTAAGGACTAACTCCTCCTTAACTTTAGTCCATTCTGAAAAGTTATATGTATATTCAAAATATCCTTGTTCAAGGTTTAGATGCAACTTAGATTCAACAAATACCTAGTTTTCTCTTTTTCTAAAATGACCACACTGTATTAAGTAACTATCAAAATTGTCTAATTTCATTACTGAAATAAATTTTTTATGACGCAAATTAGGTTTTATCAATCTGTGCACTGCAAGTGATCCCCAAAATCTGCCCTTATGTTTCTCCTAGATTTTTCAACAGGATTAATTTTAACTGCATATACTACACTATATCTGAACATTAGACTTTGGATATTACACACGGCATTTTCATATACATATTTCCAGTTTGGCATCCATAAATTTTTCTCCCAAAACTGATATTTTAAGAAATGTTTTACTGGTTACGTATTTTAGGTGAAACCTATTAAAATGGCAGTTGAAATATTCCACACATTTATAAAAATATCCTGCAGATAAAATATTGCTTTTAAGCTATTTCGTGGACTACTTAATATAACAGGTAAAAAAGCAAAAACTATCTTAATTAGGTAAGAAAATCACAAAATACTAACTCCAAATTGGAATAATAGATATAAATGTGATATTCAATAACATAATGATATAAATATACATAATGATATAAATATGACATTATATATTCACATTTATTATTATTATTTGAATATATTGTTACATTATTTTCTTCCTTCCCGTTCGTACAGGGTTTGTGTGGATTTGGAGTGAATAACGATGACACTTGATGAAGTATCGAAACACACTTTATTTAGACAATATTAATCAGGACAGCTCCAATAACACGTTTACACAGTCATTGAAGAACTACAATAAACAGGCTGGAACAATCAGCGACACAGCCTTCAGGCCATCACGGTGAAGACAGCTTCACTGCACAGCCCCAGAGTACAGCTCCCAACTATGCTCGGTCGTTCTCGGAACTCCACGTACTATCGAGACTCTCCACGCTACAACTTGCGATGCACTCGACGACACACAGAGCATGGCTTCCGACTCTTTGTTTCATTCGCTCCCGAAGCTCAACACGCTCTCTCAACGATGCACTAACCGTGATATACTAACAGACTGCTTCAGTGAACTCGATGACCCACTCGGCACTCGCTGCCCGGCTGTCAACTTGATCGAATCCGCAGGGATTGACTCGCTAGATGAGACACCATATCGATACAAACTATCTCGCACTTTACGAGGCCCTCTCCACGAGGCATACTCTTCCTGGCTTGGACCAGCAGGGTTTATATAGCTTTTGGCTGGTGTTCGAGCACATTCTGAGCTAAACTGGTAAGAATTCGTTCCAGAAGGTTCTCCAACCGTCCATGGTATATCGCCAATTTTGCCGCCAAATGGACAATTTCTCATCAAATGTGGCAACCCTGCCTTCTTTCGCTATTTTATGGCAACCCTAAAACTGCCTTGCGGGGAAGCCATCTTACTGCGCCTGTACATTTCATAACAATATGAAACATCTGGTTAAGAGTTAAGATGCTTTCAAAATTTATTTTCTGCATGAAACTATCTCTAAACTATATTATATCATACATGCAGGAAAAGCATGAAAACAGCCAGCTTACTTGCTGGGTTTTCAAACAAGCTGAATTATAATTATCAGTATTTAGTGATCTTTTCTACTTAGCTACCAGTAGGTAAGTCATACTACAGTCAAAAGTCGTTAATCCGGACTCGTCGGGACTTCGGCTATTCCGGATTATCGATTTTTCCGGGTTATAGATCATCAGTTTAAATCTGGTACGATGGCATGCAGAAATTACAAAATTAAAAATATGAAACCGTAATTTATGAAATAAAGAACAATTATGATCTAAAGGGTATCAAAATTTACAAAAAGAAAAAAGCTTAATATTTATTTGTTTACTTTATTAAACATTTCTTTTAATGTAAGTTGCTTCATTTCATGTGATAAAACTTTCTCTTTAATTCTATTAAACAGACATAATTTCTTGTTTAGTTACAAAGTTCTGCTGTTCAAGTCCTATAATTGCTGTGTTGAGAATACCAACTAATTTGTCAATCGAAATGTTTTCGTTTTCAATAACCTGTGGGTCACTTTCTTCACTATCCGAAGCGAATTATAATGACGAGGAACTTGATTTAAATCATATCAAAGACAGAGTACAACGATATGAAATACTACACTTAGTAAGGAATTATAAACCAAATAAAATAAAAACATCTGCTCTGAAGATAAGGATAGTGCTGACAGATCAACTTCCAATCTGCCGTGTGAAATTGATAAACAGATTTCGGATTTCAAAACATACTTTTGCTTTGTAGATACAAATTACATATTAGTAAATATATATCGGAAATTCTATTTGACATAATCGAAAGTTCAGGCTTTCTTTTATGAAATTGCTTTAACAGTCTGCAAAAAATAATAAGCCTGATCCAATTTGAAAATTAAGGAACAACGCAATCTGCAACATTAACTGAATTAAATAATTTTTGCTTAGATTATACCGTTCGTTACACATTAAACGCGCATGCGCAAAAACATATTCACATCCATAAAGGTCTTACGAGCACTCGTAAACGCCTGTGCGCATGCGTGAACGCGACGCATGCTCAGAAAGTTTGTAGCTTTGAGGTCCGGATTATAGATCATTCCGGATTATGGGTGTCCGAATTAACGACTTTTGACTGTACTTTGTAAGTGAAATTGCCGTAATGGGGGGGGGGGGAGGAGAATCAGAGAAGAAACAAAAATTAAAATATATTAAAACTTAATATAAAAATGCTGAAATCAATGCATGAAAACCTCCTCCTTAACTTAAAAGAACAATTTGGAATTTGCTTTGTTAAATATGCTATCCCAAATACTGAATAATAATACATTCACATACCTTGTGTAATAATAATAAATGCAAATATGCAATGCAAAATGGACCATGCTAAATGTTTCTTTGAAAGGTGTGTTGGATATAACATTGCATTTTATTAAAAATGGTGACCCCCAAAAAAAGAGAGGAAGATTAATTTCATTCTATATAACAAATCACATATAACAAATGTACTCATACTAATTTAATGACAACTTACGTTTTATGCCACTCCACCACTGGATATGTTTGGTATATGCAGTACCTCGCATGCGAACTACAACCTCCTGAACTCTATATTTTGTACCAGATGCCTGTGGGATAGCTGCATTAACAGACTCGCATGATGTCCTCCAAGCATCAGTATCATCACTAACATCAGGCACAATCTGATCAAATTTTTCATCTAATTGAAGAATAGAATCAGCTCTTGGTGATGAGGGGGGTGTACGAAGAGACAGTACACCATATTTGCCACATTTCATTTCAGACGGATCCAACATATCTACCTGAATAAATTTTACACATATGAACCTATATGAGACATAATTCATGCATTATCCACAGCAGAAATATATCATTTTCATAATAAAAGCAAATATTATCAAGGTTCAGTTTTTAAACATTGGCTGTTTTTAAGCAAAGTAGAGCTACCGGGATGTAATCTATCTCACAAAGCCATATTTTTTTATTATTTCTAAGACTAAGAATGATGAGACATCTTTTCACAAATAACACTGAAGTCAGGCTCTTCATTAAGTTAACTGCTACAATATTTTTTTTTTCTGTTCTTCCTGTAGCATAATCAACAGCAATTGATCAAGTATGTTTAATATGCAGCATGACCCAGGTCATTTAAAAAATATTCAAGAAAGATAAGTTTGGAGATTCGAGACAATTTATTTAGTATTTAGTCACTCCATCTACATCTGCTTCGTGAACAAACAAATTATTTGCCCAAAGCAAGAATATTTCACACTACTTTCACAATATAAAACTGTTCCCACAATTTAAACATCATGTTATTCCCAAAATATCAGTGCAGACATTAGACTTAAAAAATTCCAGAATCAAAACTTAACAGTCAAGATTAAAGCACTGAGGGAAACATATCATTACATGACTCATAGCACCTTCAGATTCAATAACAGTAAAATACAAATACTATTTATCTAGCACTTGTCATATTCTAACATATCTTTCAGACATATCATGCTTTAGAGCAGTCTTTCAAACACATGGTCTATAGGCCAGTTCAACCAGCTAAAATTTTTAATTTAACTCTTCTGTATCATTATTTCAAATTCTAAACAATTTCAAATTATAAATGTTTACAAACACATGAAATCTTCAAAACAAGGTAAGAAGAATAGAAACAATAAGGATGATCCTGCTTCAATACGAAAGGGCTGTCAACCAAAAGATAATAGTTTTATTAAGTATCAATAAATCTCATCAGGCAATTCATGAAGTTTGGAAAGGAAGGAAGTACAAAGTTAAAGATTTTAGTGACTTTCAAAAAAAGGTTGTCAATCCATTGATATTTATCGTAAGTGGGGAAACATTATAAACATATAAAAAAAAACAACACATTTTAGCAATTTAAAACATAAATCCTAATTATTAAATAAGAATTACATGATGCATAAAAAAATTTTCAGTTTTCACGAGTTTTATCCGTAATTTATTCCGCTGTCATTCTCCCCATGTCCACAGCAGCCTGTTTTGGCAAAAAACATCACAGAATTGCACAAACTTAGTATTACACTTTAGCTGTCTACTAAATGCAACTCATACACACAGTTACACAGAGCATTTAAATTTATTTGAAATTAGTCACTTCTGGGTCAGTGTCACGTCACTTTTTTTTTTTTTTTTTTTTTTTTTTTTTTTTTTTTTGTGTGTGTCTGTACAGTTGGTGAGGTATGACATGCGAAAAAGAGAAAAATTGCATCCTTGAAAGTGAACTCATCACTACTTACATATCTCATATTCTGCAATTACTTTTTTGTATTTCTGAATACTGTTAAGAGATCGTGCAACTAGTCCTGCTTCTACATATTTTTACAGTGAGATATCCTCCTGCCTTGAATAGAAAACAAAATCATTTTGTATTTTCTGTGATTTTGTTTTATTTAGTTTAGTTATTGTTGCATATCACATTCAACAAAACAGCTTTTATGATGGATTCTGAGGGCAGTGAATAACATTGTCATGTTTTGGGGGGAGAAAGAGGCAATCTAAGCATTAAAATAATCTGCAATGAATTCAATAGGGTTTTTATGCTTTTATGGCCAAGAAAGACTGTACAAATAATTTTCAAAACATATTTCCCATATTTTAAAAAATTATTTTTATTAAGATATTTATATTAAATAAAACTGCTTACTGTCAAAAATATTTTGCATTTTCAAATTCAGGATAGAATATATTAATTTTCAGCAATAGAAAAAAATGTTTTTGGTGGGAAGGGGAATGGAAATTGAAAAAAAAAAAAATTCTAACCAAGAATTCACATTTAACCATGGCAATACAGACATTTCGCCGTTTTGCTCCAAGCCATTAAAATAAAAAAAAAAAATAATTAAAAAAAAACACCTCTAAATCATGTCTTTCAGTCTTAAATACAGTCACCCAGTTAAAATAATCAATAAACTTGAATATTATGAAAGTAAAACATGGATTCTGTTTTTGCCATTTAAAAGTACACATTTTTTTAAAAATATATAGCATTTAGAAACAGACAACACATCATCTACAGAGAACTATCTCGCAATCTCACTGACCTGGGCTATTAAAAAAACAAGGTTACCAGATTAAAATCTTTATCTAACAACAAAAGCACCCAATTTTGGCACACATCTGATACTTCACTTAAGCCTGGAAGGAGAATAATACGTAAAAAAATAAATAATAAATAATAAATAAATAAATAAAATAAATAAAAAATTTTAAAAAAAAAAAAAAAAAACTGAAATGTTTCAGATTTTAAATTACGTCATAAGGGGCGTTTTTTAACATTTTGTGTGTTACCTTTCTTTATTAAATATCATGTTCCTCGCACTTAAACCATAAGATCCAGTGCAACAGCAATATCGCAAAATAGTTTTTAAAACGAGCATATCTTTAGAATTTCCGATACAGAGACTCACGCGCTGGAGATAAAAATGTTTTTTCTTCTGCACAACGTTGCCATTGCTCGCTTTGAAATCCTTGAGTTTGTTAATCAAAAATTCGTCAAAGTTTTAAAAAATAGGAAATCGATCATAAAACAAATTTCAAATTTCAAATTTGGTCTTCCACATGCTCATATTCATTGGAGGATTACGTTATTCAAAATTCGATGACTCTATGTACCGTTATTTTATGACAATGTGAGAAATATACATACATTTACGGAGATTTTCATTATTTAATTTCTTCAAATATAATGCAGGACTCTAACATTTTATGGCAACAGTTTGAAAAGTGAACCGACATTTATCCGTCCGACGCAAAATGCCAAAATGAAACTAATAGTCCTTCGGGATTCAAATCCCTTTGGACTAAAAATAAAAATTATAAATAAATAAATAAATAAAACTTAGCTATATTCGACTTAAACATTCACTTTTTAAAAGCTTGAGATAAGTCAATATATGAAACTGGGTATGTACTTATCGCAAAATCAGACAAATACTTCAGAAAACAAGAGCTAGTATGAATCATGTGTTCGCTGAAGTACAGTAAAAGCCGACCATCAGGCAGGCATTAAACTAACTGGAAAAATGCAAGCAATTGGAATATTTAAGAATTTTCCTGAAATATATAGTAAATGAGAGATCTGTAATGCCATTATAGAACTTGTCATATTATTAACACATACACGTTGTCAACGGACAGTGTGATTTAGCACCAGTTATGGATAAGAATGATGTCCCAACACAATCTTAAGAAATTCATTTTAGTTTAATACAAATTTGATAAGTTCTTGATAGGCTAGTCAAATATTTGAAAAGAAGGAAAATAAGCTCTATTTTTGCCTCACATTTTGGGAAAATGGTTAATATTTAGGACTGCATGAAGCGGAGCCATTTACAGAATTCGGACATCAAAATAAGCGACTTTTAAAATGGATAAGCAATGGCAATGTAACAAAAAAAAATTATGATAAGCAATTCAAGCTTTTTATATGCTACATCTCTAATTTGTATCTCTTTATTATTTAACTAAATAAAGAACAATCTGTTCATTAAAATTTCTACCAAAATGATTGGCAACATTTCTGTTAACTTTCATGTTTAGAAAGATTTCATAAAAGTCAAACTACTTTAGCATATATGACTGTAATGCATATTTTTGTTTTCAAAATCCTGTACAATTTTAAATGTAGACTATAATTTTAAATGCAGAAATGTAGACTATAATTTTAAATGCAGAAATGTAAACTGATATTCACGTTGGTAATAAATAAGATAATCATTTTTATAATTTTAGACCAGAAATTTTTCCCACTGATTTGTCTTTTCTAATATGAATTCCATTTTTTATACAGTCAGCTATCCAGAATTTTTAGGTTACCTGGAATCTGGTATTTCCAGAGTTTTCCAGGTAGTCGAGCTTTTACAGCACTGATTTTTCATTTAATGAGATATAAATCAGATGCTTATTTGCCTAGGAGGAAGAATTCCATATGAAGTTTGTTTCCTTAAATTTTCATTAAGAATTTCTTTTAAATTTTTTCACAGAAATATTTATGTATTTAAATTTTTTCTCACTTAAAATACATGTATTATTTACATGTCAGTGTGTTCCAGATTAAGCCCATACATGTTCAAGCCAAATAATTAGACTTGGTTCCAGTGAACAACCTCAGGAAAAGAAAAACTGAGCCTCAAAGCCAATTTTTTTAAGCTGAAGTTAAATAAAGGCTTTCTTCTCATCGCTGTTTGTGGTACCATAATCACACATTTCAAATTTACTTTCGTTGAATGAAATTTTTGTTATCGAGTATAATATAACATGCTGTGTTTAAATGTCAAGACAGCATTTCTGTCTTAAAAGAACAGACTAGCAAGAAATGCTGTTCTGCAAAATATACCATAAAATATGACTGGCACAGAATAATGTTCATCAAATGAATACTCTAAAATATTAACATGCAACAACCTTTCTTTAAAGCAGCAAGCTCTGAGAAAGCTATTAATCAGATACTTAAAATATGAAGAAAAGGACAAAAAAGGTAAACTTTGTTTTGGAGGAGTGGGGGTATATTTGACTTCGCAAAGAGCATATGAGAGCTATTTGCCTAGGGGAAGGATGCCTTAGTGGAGGGCTTTTGAAGGGGAACTGGCTCATATACATGTTACACATAACAAAAACCAATGTCTATGCAGCCAGCCCATTTGCCTGGAAACAAACCCAGATCGAACTACCAGTTTTCAGTGATTTTATCCCCCTCTAAAAAAGTAAAATATTACTGATGAAAAATTAAAAAAAGTCTGTTTGGTTACATTTACATTATAACGTTGCGCGCCTCTAACTAGCACGCAACCAAGAGGTGACTGTGAAAGCTTGTATAAACCACAGAGTCTTATAAAGGGTTTAAGTCCCTTTTTATTCAACGTAATAAATTACAATGGCGTCTCTTGACGCTTACAGACTGTGCCCACTAGGCAGTCAAAAAAAATAAGACCTGAAAAGAAAGTAAAGACAATAAATTTCTAACTACGAGGCTCTCTAAAATAACTACAACTCACCGCTAACAAATACCGTTTAAATACCGCAGCTCATTCAGCAGACTTGAAGCTCACTGGAACAATTGCAACTACTTTCGCCAAGCACATAGGCGCAACGCGGGGTTCTTCAGTTCTCGATAACTACCT